CCCCAGGCCCTGGCCCAGCAGATCCTGTCCCTCCCGGCTGGCTCAGGGCTGTTTGGGGGGCACTGGGATGGGAGGGGGAGGAACAACAGGCCAAAGACTGGGCAATCCCTGCCAGGCTCCTGAGGGAGGGGCGAGGCAGAAACCAAGGGCAGAACCTGCCAGGAAAGTTGCTTGTGGTGGGCTGAGTGGCAGAGGCAGCTGCCAGAGCCAAGGGGACAAAGGCCTGGGTGCCTTTGGGCCTTGCAGCCCTGCCAGAGCCCTTGGCCATCTCTCCTGCAGGCTGTCCTGCCCTGTCCCTGCTGCTCCTCTGGCCTTGCAGGCTGCACACACCCCTCCTGCTTTCCCACGCCTCTCACAGCACTGATTTCTAGACCCTCACTGATGTCTCTGCACTCATCTCTGGCTATTCCCTGGAACACAAAGCCATGGGATGATCCAGATACTCTCTTTTTGTCCTCTTACATCACAAGGCTCCCCTTTGAGCAACAGTTCTTCCTCACCTCCAGTCTGAACCTTCCAAGCTGCACTCGGTGGGTTTTCTTTCTCTTCCCAGTACCAAGAAAAGCTCCATCCTGGCAGAATCACAGAATCACAGATTATGCTGAGTTGGAAGGGACCTATGAGAATCATCGACTCCAACTCCTGCCCTTCACAGGACCATTCCCAAGAGTCACACCATGTGCCTGTCATCTAAAAAGTTTTTGAACTCTGTTAGGCTGGGTGTTTTAATCACTTCCCTGGGGAGACTGTTCCAGTACCCAACCAGATCTCCTCTAGACCCTCTCCAGTTGTTCCTCCTTCCTACAGTATGGGAAGCTCGACAGACAGAGATTAGTCCAGATGTGGTGACCCCAGGGCTGAGTCCGAGGGGTGACAACTCCCTTGTCTGGGTGGCCACACTCCCCCCAAGGCAACCCCATGTGCAGTTGGCCTTATTAACTTGGATCCTGAGCCCCTGTGCCACAGTACATCCCTCTCAGAGTCCAGGCCCTTCTCCTGGGGGTCACTCCAGAGCTGAGCAGGGTCCTGCCTTCATCTCGGGGTCATTCTGGTCATTCTGCCCCTAGGGCAGGACTGGCCCCTTTGCCTTCTAAAACTCCAGGAGGTTTGTGTTGCCAGATCCCAGAGCTCCTCAGGGCCCCTGAGAGTGACTCTCAGCAGGGGCAGCTCTCAGGGTGTGCACAGACAGCTCCCCTGACTTGGTGCCCAAGGCTGCTGCTGCCTGGTAGGGCTGGGACAGAGGTGACCTGGCAGCCCCTTCCCAGCCCTGGGCCCCCTTGGGATCCTGAGGCACAGCTGAGTCCTCCCAGCATTCCCACTCCTCTGCTCCTTGTGTGCCGTGGGCTGAGCAGATCCAGGTCATCTCCCATTCCTCTGCCAACCCCCTGGGCCTGCTCTGGGCCCTCCAGGTCCTTGCCCTGCTCCCAAGGGCTGTGGGGGTGGTTAATGGTCAAGGCTTGGGGTTTAGAGCTCAGGGTGGGGATTAGGCAGAACTTTGGCAAGTTTATTGTTCTGCTGGCAGTGTCTGGTTCAGCTTTTTGGGCTGGGTTAGGATTAAAGGTTGGCTTTTCATACTGGTAATACAGGTTTGGGAATGGGGTGGGCATTAGAGGACAAACAAGAGTCTGGAGTTCTGGGTTTGGGCTTTTTCTGTCTTGGAATTAGAGCAGTGGATTCCTTTCCATGGGAGGGGCAGCACTTTTGGGTAGTGTTGGGGCTTGAGGTTACAAAGTGCATAAAGGTCCATCAGGAATGTTTGCACAGTCAGTGTTTCCGCACCCTCAGCATTACTTGAACCTGGTTTTACCTCACCAAACTCTTTCCTCTTTGTTGGCCAAGCCCCTCTTTCCTTCCCTAGTTATCTTGTCCCTTTTGTCACAGTTCCTCCCAACCTCCTCAGAACTTCCATCAGGATGGGCTCAGCTTTGTGATGATGCTGTGCAACCTCATGGAATCAAGGACCCACTGTGAAACTGCAGAACCTCATGGAATTACGGGGCCATTGTGACCCTGGGGAAAGCCATGGAATCAGGAGTCCATTGTGGCACTGCAGGGCCTCTTGGAAACAAAGAAACCCTGGGCTACAGTGGAATTTCATGGAATCAAGAGGCCATTGTGACACTGGGGAACCTCATGGAACAAAAGGAATCCAGGGACACTGTTGAACTTCATGGAATCAAGGGGCAGTTGTGACACTACAGGGCCTTATGGATCCAAAAGAACACAGGGAAACTGTGGAGTCTCATAGAACCAAGGGACATGCAGGGCCTCATGGAACAAAAGGAACCCTGAGACATTTTGAAAGCTCGTGGAACAATATGGTCCTTGTGGCACTGCAGGGCCCCATGGAAACAAAGGAACACAAGGACACTGAAATCTGGTGGAACCAAGGGACCATTTTGACATGTGGGGCCTCATGGAAGAAGAGGAGCCCTGAGACATTTTAGAACCTCATGGAACCAAGGGGCCATTTTGACACTGAGGAACCTCATGGAGTCAAGGGGCCACTGTGATACTCCAGGGCCTCACGGAACCAAAGGAACCCTGAGATATTTCAGAGCCTCCTGGAACCAAGGGGACACTGTGCCTCCCCAGAACTCCATGGAATCAAGCAGAGCCGCTGCCTCCCCACCGCCGCTGCACGGACTGGAGTTGCCGGCTCTGCCCCCCTTGGACACCTCTGGAGTCAGCGTGTTCTTGGGCAGCAAAACTGATCTCAGACCAGAGAGTTTCCCATATTTTGCTTTGCCCCCTCTTTCCCTTGGTTTTGTTTTTTGTTCTTTGTTCCCCCAGGGGGAAAAGGGGGAAGGGAGGCACGTGTTGATCCCTTGTTTTACCTGTTTACAAAAGGGAGTTGGGGTAGGGGCGGAAAGAGGAGGCGGTTTCTCTCTCTGCTGTTGCTTTGAACTGTTCTGTTGGGGCGGAAAGAGGAGGCGGTTTCTCTCTCTGCTGTTGCTTTGAACTGTTCTGTTGGTATGGTTGTTTTTGCTGCTATATTTCTTGTTAGCGAACTCTTATTTTTTCACTTCTACCTCCTTGTATTTTGTCTTCCCAGGCAAGCCTGGGGACTCCATGGGTAGCAAGAGCTTTCTGTGCTGGCACCTGTGGTGTGGGAGGAATCTTTGTCCATATGCAATTTTGGGAGTAGGGCTGGCACCTGGGAGGTAGGTCTGAAAAAAAGAAACAACAGCCCTTATCGCCAGGAAAGAAAGACTGGAAGGTTTGGCTTTGTGGTGCAGTTGGTGGGCCAGGCTGAGCACTCCATGGGCAGCAAGAGCATTCTGTACTGAAAACTTTTGCCTCTGAGGTATCATTGTTTGTATGCAATTCTTGGAGTAGGGTTGTCATTTTGAACGCGTGGTAACAAACAGGAAACAACAGCCCTTATCCCCAGGAAAGAAAGACTGGAAGCTTTGGCTTTGTGGTGCACTTGGTGGCCTAGGCTGGGAACTCCATGAGCAACAAGAGCTTTCTGTGCTGGCACCTTTGGTGTGGGAGGAATCTTTATCCATATACAATTTTGGGAGTCAGCCTGTCAGTTGGGAGTCAGAGCTGAAAACAGGAAACAACAGCCCTTATCCACAGGAAAGAAAGACTGGAAGATTTAGCTTGGTGGTTCAGTTGGTTTGTCAGCCTGGAGACTCCATGGTCAGCAAGAGCTTTCTGTGCTGGCACATTTGGTGTGGGAGGAATCTTTGTATGCACTTTTGGGATTCAGGCTGGCAGTTGGGAGGTAGGGCTGAAAACAGGAAACAACAGCCTTTTTTGCCAGGAAAGAAAGCCTGGAAGCTTTGGCTTTGTGGGGTACTTGGTGGGTCAGCCTAGGCACTCCATGGGCAGCAAGAGCTTTCTGTGCTGGCATCTTTGGTGAGGGAGGAATCTTTACTTGTATGCAATTTTGTGGCTCGGGCTGGCAGTTGGGAAGAACAGTTGAAAATAGGATCAAAAGCCCTTATCCCCAGGAAAGAAAGCCTGCAAACTTTACCTTTGTGGTCCAATTGGTGGGCCAGGCTGGGCACTCCATGGGCAGCAAGAGCTTTCTGTGCTGGCACCTTTGGTGTGGGAGGAATCTTTGTTTGTATGCAATTTTGGGAGTCAGGCTGTCAGGTGGGAGGCAGGGCTGAAAACAGGAAACATCAGTCCTTATATCGTGGAAAGATAGTCTGGAAGCTTTGGCTTTCTGGTATACTTGGTGATTCAGCCTGGGGACTCCATGGGCAGCAAGAGCTTTCTGTGCTGGCACCTTTCATGTGGGAGGAATCATCGTCTGTATGCAATTTTGGGAGTCGGTCTGGCGGTTGGGAGGCAGGGCTGAAAACAGGAAACAGCAGCCCTTATGTCAAGGAAAGTAAGCCTGCAAGCTTTGGCTTTGTGGTCCAACTGGTGGGTGTGGTAGTTTGGTCTAGGCCTTCCTTGGTGACCAGTTTGTAGCCAAGGAAGTGTCCAGATTTACCCAGTATTCCCTACTATTTTTACGTAAGCCAGGGTATAAGAAGAAAGGAGGAAAGGCCTTCAGTCTCTTTTTCCTTCCGGTGGCTTGGAGGTGCAGGTTCCCTGCTGTTGAGTCTGCCGTGTTGGGGAGCGAGGCCTGGTAAGGCCTTGCTGACCTTGGGAGATGGAGGTTGCAGATGATCATTCATTCCAGCGTGACTCTCCGTTGTCCCAAGGAAAGTAGTAAGATATTCTTTGCTAATTCTTTTAGTTGCTAGATCTTGGGCTACTGATCAGGATATATATACATATTTTATTTTGGTTTTGTTCCTTTTTCGCTTCCCCCTTCCCTTTCCCTTTTCCTTGTGAAATTGTATATATATTTCAATTGTATATAACTTAAGTGTAAATATATTTTTATATATTGCTTTAGCTGTCTCTCTCTCGTTTCATTTTTTCTTGGTTGTTTTTCTCCCTCTTCTCCCTGAGGTTTGGGGGGGGGGAGGGGGCTTTTTGTGGTAAGGTTTGGAGACTTGGCAGGGAGCCAGCTTCAAACCATATCAGTGGGTCAGCCTGGGAACTACATGAGCAGCAAGAGCTTTCTGTACTGACTCCTTTGGTGCGGGAGGAATCTTCGTTTGTATGCAATTTTGGGAATAGGGCTGGCAGTTGGGAGGCAGGACTGAAAACAGGAAACAACAGCCCTTATCCCCAGGGAGAAAGACTGGAAGCTTTGACTTTGTGGTGCACTTGGTGGGGAAACCTGGGCACTCCATGAGCAGCAAGAGCTTTCTGTGCTGGCACTTTTGGTGTGGGAGGAATCTTAGTCCGTATGAATTTGGGACTCTAACTGCCATTTGGGAGGCAGGGCTGAAAACAGGAAACAATAGCCCATATGGCCAGGAAAGAAAGCCTGGAAGCTTTTGCTTTTTGTTGCAGTCGGTTTGTCAGCCTGGAGACTCTTGGTCAGTAAGAACTTTCTGTGCTGGCACCTTTGATGTGGGAGGAATCTTCATCCGTATGCAATTTTAGGAGTAGGGCTGGCATTTGAGAGGTAGGTCTGAAAACAGGAAACAGCAGCCCTTATCCCCAGGAAAGAAAGCCTGGAAGCTTTGGCTTTATGGTGCAGTTTTTGTGACACCCTGGGTAGTCCACGGGCAGCAAGAGCTTTCTGTGCTGGCACCTTTGGTCTGGGAGGAATCTTCATCCATATGCAATTTTGGGAATAGGGCAGGCAGCTAAGAGGCAGGTCTGAAAACAGGAAACAACAGCCCTTATCGCCAGGAAAGGAAGCCTGGAAGCTTTGCCTTTGTGGTTCAGTTGGTTTATCAGCCTGGAGACTCCATGGGCAGCAAGAGTTTTTTGTGCTGGCACCTTTGATGTGGGAGTAATCTTTGTATGCAATTTTGGGAGTTGGGCTGGCAGTTGGGAGGCAGGGCTGAAAACAGGGGAGAACCCTGATTCTGAGTCTGAGGAGAGAAAGAAACCAGGAGACTTTGAAGTTCAACTGATGTTTCTACAGTCTCCCAGCTTTCCTCACATTAATGAAAATTGGCTCATGAGGTTAATGAGGATGCCGCTTCTGCTATGGGGAATTCTAAGCATTCTGGGGTCGGTAAGACAACCTGGTAAGTAACACTTGAGTGAATGGGGGGTTGTCTTGGGGGCTTGTTTCCTTTCCCTTTTCTGTCTCTCGGTTTCTCATTTTGTTTGCTACTCTCTTTGGAATAAATGTTGTTTTGTTCAGCTTTCAACTGTGTACTGGTTTCAGTTTTGGCAATCTCCCTGCTACACGCAGGCATAACAAACAAATGACAGCATCAGCAGATGCCTTTCCATTCCTCTTTCCCTTCCCATTCCCCGTTCCTCTTCCCTTCCCATTCCCACAGCCAACACACTATTTCCCTTCTCACTTTAACAAAGCTCTTTTCTCCTTCAAGGCCCTCAAAGGCGCCAAGGCCACATAGGAGGCCACACACAAACAGTACTCCTCTTCCCACTTGACAACACCTTCCCCCTCACTGTTCTACAGGAAACACCATGAATCTGCTCGCAGAGGCCTCTCGTTTCCCATCAGCAGCTCAGCACAAGGAGCTAAAGGAGCTCAAGCCTTAGGCCACAAGTGCTGACAGCGAGGAA